TCTTTTTGACACGGATAGTAAGTTTACCTTCTCCTACACATTTTAACTATTAGCAGGGAGTAGCCTTTGAACTACAGGGCAGTGGTGTCCAAGGTATTTTCATCTTACATGTTTGAACAAAAAAAGGTTTGGCTGTTTGTTTACGATTCATATATATGTATTATTGTACTAACTATATATAATCGTTTGTTACGATTCATATACATGTATTATTGTATATACATTATAAAACATAAAAAAAAAGAATAGAATGACAGAATTGATGTACTATTTTGCTAACCATGATGTCTCAAGTCAAATACACCCAGGACGAGATTCAGGACTAATTAACCACAGTGGATATAAATCTGTACGTCTTCCAGATAATTTAGAATTTTGGTGGCCAGCTTCTTGCAAGATCGGATTAGATGAACACTGTCATTACCTCATAACAGGGCCGACAGAGTTCATGTTAAACTTTGACATTTTCTTGTTGCTTGCAATATTAAAATTATCTTCAATTTATGGGAATTCTTTGTAGAATCTTTTTAAGACTCTGTGAGGGTTTGTTAAAACTAAAACACAGAATTTGTAAATACAGTTGACCAGGCATGATATATTCTGCAAAATAACCAAAGCAGATGAGCCAGAGGGGAAGCCACTGTGAAGAGGAGGCCTCACCTCCCTCCCTCCAGGTGATCCTCGACCATTTGACACGTGGACCCAGGAATGATGCTAGTGTCAATATAGTCACCATCTGTTATCATAATGCTTCATGATAATAAAATGAATGTAAATGAAAATTCTAATCACTGTCTTTCTCAACCAAATGAATCTTCTCAAGAGCTCCCTGTGGGTACATATCCTATTTTGGAGGCCACTTTGCCAGGCAGTGAGGCAGTAGTTTACTTCTAGAGTCACTTATAATCACAGGAATCTCTTGACCTAAAACTATGCAGGACAAGGATAAACCAGCCTGGGTTGGAAAGAGTTTATTTTGCCTTTTTAAAAACTTTTAAAATTATGAACTCTAAGCCACAACCAGAAAAGCACATGAAACATTAATGTTTGATGTATATACTGTGTATTACCCATGCAACTGCCAGCCCCTGTCAAAAACCAGAACATTGTCAGCACTTGCAGGAGCCCTGCAACTCCTCTCTCTCCCCCAGCATGCCTTTCAGAGGGAACCACTATCCTGATTCTTTCAGTAATAAATTCCTGGCCACTTATGTCTGTAACCCTTAGCAACAGAGTTTAGTTTTGTCTGTTTTCATACTTTACATAAATGAAATAAAATTGCTATGTATACTTAGTATCTTCTTTCTTTTAACATTACGTCTTAAGATGTATCCCTCTTCTTGTGTGTAGCACTAATTTATTCTTTTTTCATTGCTGCATAATATTCCGCTATATAGTTATAGGCATCATAATTCCTTATGATTCCACCACCATTTAGTCATCCATTCTACTATTGATGGATATTCTGTGTTTCTAATTTGAGATGAATACAAATAATGCTGCTAAGAACAATTTACACATCTCTGGATGTACGCAAGTGTACATTTCTCTAGAATACACAGACAAGTGCACACCTGTGCATGCATGAGAGTGGAATTGCTGGATGGGACCTTAGTTTCTAAAACAAAACAAAACAAAAACCTAAGAAAGGTAATTCCAGTGAATCACTTAGAAATCAATTTTAATATAAACTAACTCTTATGTAGCCATGAGGAAAGTTCATTAAATTACTAGATTTATCTTTCCCTAGACTTTCACTCCTGCACACTGACTAAATTTGAACCAAGACATTAAATGCATTTAACTCTGTTAAAAAATAGTTTGAAATTTTCCAATAATTTACTGAAGCCAATACCCCCAAATCTCCTTTCCCCACCACATATATATTTTTTACATACTGTAATTGCATTTTTCCTTTTAATGAGGGCCAATATTGTGTCTACTGAGAGAACAAAATGTTCATTCAAATTTTAAAGCAAGTTTGCACCAAAAGGTTTCAAGTTAGCACTCATATTGATCAAGCATGGAAAGTCAAAAATGTTAATCCTGAGCTAAACTGAGGAGTACAAATACAAACAATAGAGATTAATTCCAACCTCAGAGTCTCCAACGTTTCATGACCATCATGAGTGATCTCCAAATGGACTACAGAAATGGGACATACTTGGATGACAACATTGTGGCACCAGCAAATCTGCTCCTCCGTCTCCCACTGTCTTATTGACAAAAAACATAATAACTAGCATCTATGATAATGCCAGGCACTGACTGCCTATTAGTTCTTACATGCAATGCCTTTTTTATTCTGTTTTTTTGTGTGTGTGGTACGTGGGCCTCTCACTGTTGCGGCCTCTCCCGTTGCGGAGCACAGTCTCCGGGCGTGCAGGCTCAGGGGCCATGGCTCACGGGCCCAGCCGCTCCGTGGCATGTGGGATCTTCCCGGACCGGGGCACGAACCCATGTGCCCTGCATCGGCAGGTGGACTCTCAACCACTGCGCCACCACGGAAGCCCGCAATGCCTTTTTAATCCTTAAAACAACCCTATGAGCTATGTACTATTATCCTTCCCATTTTATAAAAGGAAACTGAAGCCCAGAGAGGGAAAGTAACTTGACCCAGGTCCCATGGCTGTAAGTAGTTGAGTTGGGAATCAAACCGGTTCCTGGTGCCTCAGTTCACACTCTACTGCCTGGCAACGTGTTAGTTTTGTTGTTGTCATTGTTGTTATAATTTTGATTACCAAGAAGAATAGAGAACTAGAATTAAGACCAGGGCAAATGTGTGAACCAAAGGGGGAAAAAAAATCTATGTACGTTTGTTTTTATTGGAAATTTTTGTGGAAATGATTGTAACCAAGCAACTCTAATTCTGGGAGAACTAATTAAGAAATGAATTAAGGGATTCGATGGATACCCAAATTAGTCATTAGAGCTTGAAGATCTGGAGTTCTGGTCTAAATCCAGCTTTGGCACTTGCATCCCAAATAAACATGGCCAGATAAGTACCACAGCTCACAATTAAAATGCATTTAGATGGCTTATGCGTCCGCATGGGAGAGGTCGCTTCCTAATTGAATTCGGACACCTCTTCAGTTACTGTGGGTTTCATTTGCCATCTCCCTGTTCTTTTGTGACTGCCGGCAATAGGATTATGCTGAGGGAGAAATCATTTCAATCAGTGATGTCTGCAGAATGAGCGTAAAAAGATAAAAGTAAAGACTTTGAACTATAATTAGAAAATTCCTTAAGTGTGCTCATGTGACATGGGTTTGAGACTACGACCGACTGGCAAGATGAGTTACAGAATGGACGTCCAATGTCACTGTTCGGGGATGAGCAGCCAGTAAAACCGGTGTTCCAGCGTGAGACAACCGTAATCTTTCGCAGGCCAAAACGTTCCTGCTTTCTACTTCTAATATAATGAGTGACAGACAGCTGGAGGCATCTCATTCTCCTGACAAAAATATGATCAGAATTGTTTTCAGTTGGTACGTCTTTCCATCAAGCTGTTTGTTGCCTTCCATCAGAATAATCAGAGCTTCTGATTATCTGGTACGTTCCAAGAAAACAGGAATTGATTGTGCCCTTGCTTGTCTGATGGGGAGAAGGCTGCCAGAATTTACATAGTAACTCTTCAGTTGCCTAATGGAAAGAAAAACTAAGCTCTGTGTGTGTGTGTGTGTGTGTGTGTGTGTGTGTGTGAAAGAAAAACTAAGGGGTGTGTGTGTGTGTGTGAGAGAGAGAGAGACAGAGACAGAGACAGAGAGGAAGAATCAACCAGTAGTTTCCATAATAATTCTCTTTGAACAACAATAAAGAAAATGTTTTCGTGGTGATTCAGATTTCAGATATGAGGAAGTAAAGTATTCTATTCCATTCATGGAAAACAACCAACGTTAATGGCTCGTTTCAAAAAGTTACAGTCATCTTACTACTGAAGTTTCAGGGTTATGTAAAAAGAATCAAGTTTAAACATTCATGGAAACATCCAGGTACAATAAGACCTCATTATTTTGGACTAATTCAATTTGGAATTTACAATCATTTGACAGGATCTAGACCAGAGGTGATCTTTTCACAGTGAAAAATGGCTTGCTAAGCAAATTACTTTAAACAAGCAAGACTGCTGGGGGGGAAAAAAATAAAAATAAAAATATTTTTGTAAAGTATGAGGAACGAAAAATAACAACATGCTTTCCCTCCAACAAATACTTGTGATGAACCCAGTCAAATACCAATAACTGATAACAATAATAATTACCATTTAACTGAAGGTCAATCTTATATAGTCCACTTTACATACATGAGCTAGAAATATCCCAACAACTCTGCAAGATGGGTATAATCATCTCCATATTAAAGAGAAGGAAACTGAGGCTCAGAGAGGCAGGTGACATGCAGAGACCGTACAGTTACTAGGCAGCAGAAGCAAGATTCAAAGCCAGGTTGTCTGGCTCAAAAGTCTGTGTCCTTCCACTCCCCACTCAACGCTGAGTGAGCACTGACGACTGCAAGCCAGACTTCCAGATTCACTGGACCAAGTTCTTCGACAACAGCAAAAATGGTCATCACTTCAAGGAGGGAAAGCCAAGTAGTCTGGCCCCAGAGCCCACCACTCTTAACCATAATTCCTTTCTACAACACAACGATCTCTATAAATAAAGACTTTTCTCCCCTGGTACTTTGAGGTATTTCGCATGCATGAAACTACAGAAATCCATAGAAACATCGATGTAGGTGGTGTAGGTGGAGAGGGCACAGGTGGGTGGGGGAGGACCGCTTCCAGTCCTCTGCTCCTTGCCTCCAACCCCCATCCCCCACCCCATCATGAGCGACTTGTCTCTTCGGTCTGTACACCTAGACAGGAGCACTGTGGTGCTAAAATCCTGAAAGGCTGACAGACTGTGACAAGAGCTGTGGGAGTCAGCTGCAGGTGCAGGGGCAGCCAGCCATGTGGGCAGCAGGAGGATACAGAGAAGGGAGGGATCAGCTCTGCTTACCTGGGAATCCACGGAGATATTCCTGACAGTGGTCAGAGTCTGCAGTGCTCTAGGAGAAAAAGAAATTTGGGAAGTCAGATCTCACATTTCAAAGCCACACCACTCATCTCCCTCACACCCACACCCAAGCACAGGCTCTGGAGTCAGGCAGACAAGGAATTGGGTCTTACCTGTGACTTAAAGCCTCAGTTTACTCAACTGTAAAATGGGGGACAATATCAATAATAGTAGCTTCCTCACAGCGATGTTGGGAAGACTGGATAGTATATAATTTGTGCAATGAATTTGGCACACATAGTGGTGATATTTTAATAACAACAGCTAACATTTATTACTTTCTTACAAGGTGCTTGGCGTTGTTCTAGGGCCTCAATGGGTTAACTCTTCGTACTCTGAGGTAGGCACTATTACCACTGGCATTTTGCAGATACAGAAAATGAGGCACCAAAAGGTGAAAGCACCTGTCTCATAAAAATATACAAGGGGCTTCCCTGGTGGCGCAGTGGTTGAGAATCTGCCTGCTAATGCAGGGGACACGGGTTCGAGCCCTGGTCTGGGAGGATCCCACATGCCGCGGAGCAACTAGGCCCGTGAGCCACAACTACTGAGCCTGCGCATCTGGAGCCTGTGCTCCGCAATAAGAGAGGCCGCGATAGTGAGAGGCCCGCGCACGGCGATGAAGAGCGGCCCCCGCTTGCTACAACTAGAGAAAGCCCTCGCACAGAAACGAAGACCCAACACAGCAAAAGTAAATAAATTAATTAATAAACTCCTACCCCCAATATCTAAAAAATATACATATATATATATATATATACATATATATATATACAAGGCAAGTGATGGAGCTGGGATTCTGTGACCATCTGACCACAGGGCCTAGACTTTAAACCACAGGGATATCCTGCCTAATTTACCACAAATAAATGTTAGTTACTGTTATTATCATTATTGTTTCTGTAATGATCTCCTTTCCAAAACATAGCCTGTAATATCCACACAAGCCCAGGGAACTCACCATTCAGCTAGTAACCACTTAGGCACAGAGACAGGTGCTGGGCTCCTAAGTCAACCAGGCAATCACTCACTAAGTCAACAATCTCTTCAAGCGTTCCCTGAGAACCCCTCTGCATCCGTTGCTCTGTTAAGCACCGCGTGGGGCTTCAAATGCTCTGGTCACTGATCCTGCAAAGTCAGCTCAACCTCCATGAAACAACCGGGGAACGAGGACAGGAGGGAGCACTGGGAAGGACGGGACAGGACCGGACCTCAGGATGCTGGACGCTGTGCCTGGCTTGGCGCCATCTCTCTAGGTGACCTTTTCCAAGTCAGCTGACCTCTCCGGTTTTCATCTTTAAGTGAGAGGCCTGACCTAGAGGCCCTTAAGCCCTGAGATTCGAATCCACCATTCTATTCTGACTCTCTTGTAATCAGACTCCCTTTCCTCCGAACAGTCCATTTCTGCGAGAATATATTGTAACCCTTCGTTTCTCTAACACACTGACTGAGCACAATGCCAGGCACTGTGAATAGCACCCAGGATTAAAACACAAGACAAAGCCTACACTTTGTAATGAGCTCTGAGAGCACGATGAAGTCTCACCACGGGAAATCTCGGCAATCGGAAGACCAGGGAAGAGGGCAGCCCTTAGGACACCTGCGCGTGCCCGGTGGGCCCCCATCGGGGCTCTGGGTGTGGCCCCGAAGGACTCTGCACCAATCTTAGGACCCAGGGTCCCGGTGTCCCAGGTGCCCAGCAATCTGGGAAGGGGGTGGCATGCTAACCTTATGGGGCAGGTAAGAATGTCTGTGAAAAAGAAGGCACAAGCCAGACAACCAGGGAGATGCTTGAGCTGAGGGTTAGGTTTGTTTTCTGAAAGTAATAGTGTTGTGTGCAACAAACCAAAGAGATGAGAACTCAGCCGGCACTTAATTACTTGACTTTCTTCACTTTGATAAAGTATTCCAATGGCCATTTTGATAGCGATCTTTTATGTATGTGTGTGTGAGTGCGCACGCGTGCCTGCTTCTTTGCGAAACACTTCGACAAAAGATGCTACCGACTGTATTTAAAGATCAGTTCATCGCGCTTAAGATATATTTGCTTTTACAGAAACTCCTTGGAGGGAAATAATTCAGTGAGTATAACACTTCCATTAAAAAGAAATTGATTTTAAAATGTGCTTTTCCAACTCTGACAAAAACAATTCTTTGATTTTCTTTATGTACCACAAAAGGCAAACACTGTTGTGTGGACAATGTAACAAATAACATGAGTTGTCAAATGAGACATTAAACATCTATTGATTTAATTTTTAATAAAGACTTTTAAACATAACCCAAAATGTCCATCAATCTTTGACATGGGAGGAAGTAGCATTTTGGTAAATTCCATCTCCTACCACAATTGAAGTCGCAGAAGATGTTTATGGTTCTTAGAGAGGGCAATGACGGTATTCTTTACAGGACGGTCAAATATTTGCAGCATATAACATTAGAAGGCACAAAAAGGTAGAACATAAAAATGTATTATTTTGACAGGTATTTAGGTAATGGATACACCCTCTTTGCTATGTCTCTACCGAAGTACCCAGTGCATGGGAGTCTACAGAGAATTTAGTTCCTAAATTGGCTCCAAAAATGCTTTAAGCAATGGCAACATTGTTAGAGAACATGAATAAACTTCAAGGATGATGGCTCTGAGGAACAATACCCTCTTCGATATATAAATTATAGCTTTCTTAAGCCTAGAAAGAAAAATAAAATAAAATTTTAGTAGTGATCATCCCCGGGGTGAAGAATTTGAGTGATTTTTTTCTTCTTTATAATTTTGTCTGCTTTCCAAACTTCCTATAATGAGCACGTGTAACTTTAACAATGTGAAAAAAAAAATCTTTTTACACTCTCAAGATTCCTGATGTGAAAAGTGAAAAGGCTTTGGAACCAGACAAACTTGGGTTCAAATCCCTGCTTATACCCTTTCTAGCTTGGTGCCTTCAGTTAAGTTACTCAGCAGCCGAAGTTGAACATGAAATGGAAATAATAATATGTGCTTAAAGCATCATTTTGACTGTTAGAGGTGAGATATTGTAAATGCTTAGCACAGAGTAGGAGCCCAAGAAATGACAGTCACTCTTCCATTTATAGTACACAGGCAAGAGAAGTTAGGCTCTTCTAATAACAGTAAATAAATTTGTTGGTGTTTATAAATTGATGCTTCAGGCCGTTTGTTTATGGAAACACTGAGTTTTTACTACATAATTTTCAGAAAATTTCTAACAATTAAAAGTTCAGAAAAAGAGTAAGTAAGAGGCTTCCACCTCACTCTCCCTTTCATCACATTGATTAGATTCCTACAGTCTGAGACTTGGGCTTACTGGTATTTGCCACTTTGCGGCTGTGTTCAGAAATCCTCTGGTTGGGATGGGAGTTGGGAGAATGGGTTACAGTGAACACTTTAGAGAAAAGAGAAAGAAACCACAGCTACCACAATCAAGATCTTTTCCATATTGTCATTCCTTATGATGAAAGTGAGCAAAATAAACTATGGGATTGCTTAAATGAAGGGCGAGGGACTAGATCAGAGATTCTCTGGCTTTTCTTTTTTTTTAATGGTAGTTATGTTGATATTTTCATCCTATTCATGTGAAAGTAGTTCAGTCAAGTAGGTTTATGACAAAATACATGTACCTAACAGAATACGGTTGGGCAGAATATGTTGCCCTTGGTTATATGTTGCTGTACCTGACTACAGCAAGAAATATTGATTTAACTGGCTTTAGTATCAAGTCAAGTATTTGTTGACACATGGAAATGAAAAATATCAAGGAAAAGCTTGATATATAGGTCAAATCCCATTTCAACTCACTCCAAGGGACGGTCCAAAGTCTTCTGCTGCCCTAAAATTGTGTTCTAAATGATGCTTGTCCCAATCATAGATAACAGGACTTCTCACTACAAGGGGATTTGCTACATAAATGAATACTGGTATAGATTTTTAGGCAGTACAATTTATTGTAGAAAGTACAGCTCAAAAAAAAAAAACAATCATGACATACTTAACCTCTCCCTCTCTCTCAACCCTGGAGGCATGTTTTGCTTTCTACCTGAGGTGTGAACTGTTCTCTCCTTTTCAACGTTTAGTTGCTTTTTGTTCCTCTCACTTTGCCTAGTACAGAGCAGACGCTCAAAACATAGCTGATGAAGAAATGAGCTGAATGAAATGCGGTACCAAAGCAAATAAGGGAAATTCAGAATAGTTTCCTGCATAGAAGGAGAAACAAAATTTAGAAATTGATTCAAGATGAGTATAGCAAGCAGGGTTAGCATTCCCAGCTAGCGGGCTCAAGGAGTCCGGGGCTCCGTGGGCCCTCTGTTGGCTCCCTACTGCTAAGTGTTCATGGGGGTCTGTATAAAACATCCAGCACCTGGTTGACCCACACCCTGCCGATCTCCGAGGAATGCCACGGAGACATTTCAGTCATTAAGTACCTGAAGCACCTTCATAAGGGTCCTACAGTGAGCCCAGGCTGGGGTGGCCAATGAACAAATCCTGTCCTTTTAAAGGACAGAGAGAAAGGGCCACCACGACCACCTGGGAGGCAAGGAAGGGAAGGCAGGTTAGCCGGCAGCAGCCCCAGGGGAAAGGGAATGAGCGCAGCCCCTGGAGTGGGATTGACTCTCTGGCAGCCTGACTCAAAGGCAGTTTCTGAGCCCTTGCCTACGTTACCAGGGGCTGGGGGGAAACCACAGGAGACTTCAGGAAAGTATGCGTGATGTCCAGTGTCAAAATTCCTAACTTCTTCTCTTTCATTCTCCCCTCTGGCAAAATGATTGCTTTAATAATCAAAGAGTTTCCTATCATTGTTTATAATGCAACCCTGTTGGAATATGCTTTTCTATCTGATAGTCTTTTATTGTGAGCCTTTTTTTAGTTGAAAGCTAAAATAATGCATCAAATATACAAGTTTTGCTTCTATCTTGGAACAACATAATAGACCTAAATGGCTATTTTTATAAAGGTCTGTTCTGTGTTCAAAGGAACCACCT